GACTCTTGAGTTCAGGCAATCCACCTGCCTTAGCCTCCCAGACTGCTAAAATTATAGGTGTAAGCCATCACGCTGGACCTAAAATATTTTCAAGATAAAAACTATTGCCTATTTGTCCTCAACAAATGCTGACTGGACCACATTGTATATATCCGAAATTATCAATTGACTATTATTGAGATGGGCATGGCCTAGGCAGAGGAAGGAAATACAGTAGAACCTTTGTAACTTACCACCTCCCTACGCGACCATTTCCTTCAGTTGACCTAATTTTCATAGACCTGGCATGCACCAATGCATGTGTCAGTACACCAGGGCTAGTTCTTATGTTGACCAGTTTGTCGTGGGCCCTTGAGTGGTCAACTTACAGAGGTTCTACTGTAATATAATGTAACTACATCAACTTGCATTTAAAGTATCTATTCGTGTGTATCTTAACCACAGATTATTCATCTATTTTAATATATCTTTGGTCATTTTAAAAAACGATAAGTAGAGTTTTGACAAACTAGAGTTTTGGCATATTTTAGAGAGCAGAGCTTTGCTATATTTTTCTATAAACAAATATGGCTGGCTCCTTTGTTATACTTTTAAATACATGTCTGGGGTTGACATCATAGATCAAACTGATTTCTCCTTGGGTGTACATTTTCAGTAGCTTTTTATTTCCACTGAGGATTAAAAGGTCCTTCAGCTAGTGTTAACCTGATGTTTAGCGTTATGAATGTGTAGACGCCTGCTTTATAAATACATTGGGAATTTCCTGAATCTCTGAGATGTGTGGGTGCTCTCTTGGGAGCATTTCCTACGCCATGCCATGGCTTACTCTGTATGAACTGCTGCCGTATTTTATCTAGAATTATCTGGAACATTCGAGCCTCCTTGATTTATGTGAGTGAATGAAAGAAAACCATTAATTTAGCTAAACAATAAAAAGATAGCTGGTGAGATAGCTGAGTCCAGTGGTGAGGAGACCAGATTTCTGCAGTTTCCTGCCTGTCATGAACACCCTGGAGGTGGCTCTGTGCCAGATGACCCTGGTAACCCCTGGGCCATCCTTCCAAAGTGCTCTGGGCATGCAGCCTGAGGTTAGGGAAGTTGCTTGCAGCTAAGAAGCACTGAGAGGGCACGTGGCTTAGTGCGACGTGATAGTTCAGTCTCCCTGCAAAGACTAGTAACACCCAGCTTCTCTAGGATCTAAGGATGATCTCGTAATTATCTGGACTTTTGTCATTAAGGTTAAGGGGAAAAAATATGTTAAAGAAAACGGGAGTGGAATTGCATCTGAATTCCCATCCAGGAAGCAGCCTATTATGGGACTCCAACTAATAGGGACTCCAACTCTATAAAAGACCTATGAACTGCACGCAACACAGTTATCTTGTAATAATCAGCCCCTTGCTCCAGGGGCTCAGGGACAGGGGACAAATGCCCTTCCCTCTTTCAAATTTCCCTCCTTGGTCTTGTTTTTCTGTGACATCTTTCCTCCCCTTGCCACTGCTTACTTTCAGCATTTTCAGGGAAGGGGGAGGAGGGTGCTCAGCACTGGACCAGCGACAGCCCCAACACTCTGGCTCTAAGGTTAGGAGTGAGTTTCCAGAGAGTAGCTATTTGGATAAATAAAAGCATATGGACTTACTTAGTGTTCTTTCATTATCTATAAAAGCAATATTAATAAATAGATTTATTCCTATTTGATAGACATGGACCAATGGTTCTTTACTCTGCCTGTTAGAACCATCTGGAGAGCTCAAAAACGCAGAGATTTTATAGTTCCTTTGATGAATTGGAAACAGAGAGAAAGGTGATTCTAACAGAGTATTTCTTTCTGAAACCAAAGAGTAGCCACTGCCTTGCTTGCCCTTCATTAGCTTTACTGGAATTGACCCAGATAAAAAAATGGATCTTATTTCATCCACCTCACCTATCTGCCACCCACCCAGCAAAGAAGGCGAAGGTGTTTAGAAGCAGCACTGGGCATCCTGCATGTCTGGTGACACATAAAACAGTGGGAGAGGCTCTGACAAACCATGGGCAGCCCTCCCTTCAGCACTGGGGGTTCTCAGTGCAGGTCCATGCACCAGCATTTCTAGCCCGCCCCTTCTCCCAGTCTGCACACCTACTTGCAATCCCTTCATTGGGAAGAAGTCAAGAGCAGGGAGGCCGGGCACAGTGGCTTACACCTGTAATCCTAGCACTCTGGGGGCCGTGGTGAGAGGATCCCTTGAGGTCAGGAGTTCCAGACCAGCCTGAGAGCAATACCCTCCATTTCTACTAAAAATAGAAAATTAGCTGAGTGTGGTGGTAGATTACTATAGTCCTGGCTACTCAGGAGGCTGAGGCAGGAGGATCAATTAAGCCTAGGAGTTTGAGGCTGCTGTGAGCTAAGCTAAGGCCATGGCACTGTAGCCTGGGTAATAAATAGAGTGAGATTCTGTCTCTGGAAAAAAAAAAAATCAGGGAAATAGTCTCCTTCCTTTGCACAAGGCATCTTAGTGGCTGAAGTATGCCACTCTATTACTTAGCAACAAAGAAAAAACAGCAACAACAACAACAAAAACCCTTGATTGTTCCAGAGAAAGGGGGCATACTTTTCTCTTGGATAAGGACTGTGGTATCCTAGCTAAGAAGGAATCTTTAGGATGACTGCAGAATTAGAAATAAGGAGAGTTATGGATTTGTTCTAATTTTTAATGTTCTTTCTGGTTGATTTTAATGGTTAATGTTCTTCTTAATGGCCTGTGTTTCTGTAGACTAAGACACAAGAAAACAGAAAAGGAGGGACAGGGGAGGCACGGTGGCTCACAGTTATAATCTTAGTACTCTGGAAGGCCGAGGCCAGAGGATCCCTTGAGCTCAGGAGTTTGAGATCAGCCTGAGTGAGAACAAGACCTCATATCTAAAAAAGAGGTGAGGGAGGAGGGACAAATAGGTCCTGAGAAACCTGAAGTCTCAAGCCATTACTTTTTTGCTGTTGATGCTCTAGGTGGATTCTTTCACAACTTATCCATAAAAGAAGACAAGGGAGTTGGAATCCTTATGCCTCTGGTTTTCTGAATGGCCTAGCGAGAGTGGAGCCTTAGCTGCCCAGGAAGGCAGAGCCCAGAGGGAATACTGGTGGGAGCTCTTTCTTCAATGGCCTCGGGAGTCCTGCATTTTCTTCACTTCTAAAACATATCTGTTGTCATCCCTATCAGTAATTGTACTTCGACGGGTGTTTTGGTGGTGATGCTATAAAGCAAAACTTGAAAGACAAATTGTTTGGTATGATTGCTGGTGAGTGTTCCTGTCACTTTGAATGTAGGATGTTTAGGAAAATCTTAGTTTAAGTCGAAAAGAGTAATTTTGTACTGCATCTTCTAGGGCTGGCTAAGCCAGGTTATTCACAAAGATGGGTCTCCATCCATTCACAAAGATATGGTGAAAAACAAAACAAAGTTAAAACAAAGACTGGGGCGATGCCTGTGGCTCAAAGGATTAAGGTGCTGGCCCCATATGCTGGAGGTGGTGGTTTCAAACCCAGCCTCTGACAAAAACGGCAAAAAAAAAAAAAAAAAAAAAAAATTAAAACAAAGACAAAACAAGTCTCAAAATGGACTTTAGTTAAGGAATATGGCAGGGTTGCAGAGGCAACTGGAGAGTCACTATGATCAGGTGCGTTTCCAGCTTCTCAAGTCTGTGCTTTGTGAACATTTAGGCAGGAAGGAAGGGTTTGGTCAGGAGGAGGAGAGAAGAGAGGAAACAATTAGGGGACCTGCTCCTTGTCCTGGGAATGGGGGAAGGGACCATGGTCAGCATTATCTAGGCTGGCACAGGGAAGCAGGGACAAGTGTTTGTATTCCTGAAACCCCCTGGGTGCCCCTGGGCAGGATGTTCATCTGCAACTCCGTCAGGTGGGAGCAGAAGGTTTGCTAGCAGCAGTAGGAAACCCTGGCCCCTTTGAGCTGCCCAGGTAACGTGAATCTTTCTCAGAGGTTTTCCAAGTTCAAAAATGAATGATTTCAAAGATGCGTGAACACACTTGGGGAACAAAGTTGAATGGAACTTTAATCTTTTTTTTTTTTTTCTGAGACAGAGTCTCACTATGTTGCCCTCAGTAGAGTGCTGTAGCATCATAGTTCACAGCAACTTCAAACTCCTGGGCTCAAGTGATTTTCTTACCTCAGCTTCCCAAGTAGCTGGGACTATAGGTGCCTGCAACAATGCCTTGCTTTTTTTGTTGTTGTTGCAGTTGTCATTGTTGTTTAGCTGGCCCAGGCTGGATTGGAACCCATCACCCTTGGTGTATGTGGCTGGCACCATAACCACTGTGCTATGGGCGCAGAGCTGACTTTAATTTTTTAAGACTTGTGGCAGGCATCTGTAGTACCAGCTACTCGGAAGCCTGAAGCAAGGGGATTGCTCAAACCCTAGAGTTCAAGGTTGCTGTGAGCTATGACAGTACAGCACTCAACCCCAGGGTGGTAGAGGGAGACTCTGTCTCACTAAAACAAAACAAAATAAAACAACAAAAAAGACCAATAGAATACATAAATCTGCCATATGTATACATATGGAATAGTATACAGCAGTAAGAAAAAGCTGCTGACTGCAGCAACGTGTGTCCATCTCATAAACCGGACATAAAACCAAAAACTAGCACAAGGAAGTACATGAACTTATTTACAAGGATGGAAGTTAGAATAATTATCACCTTTTTTGGGCAGTGACTTTTAGGGAACATGAAGGGGGTTTTAAGGTGGTGGCAATGTTTGATTTTCTTTTCTGAGTATTGGCTACATGGCTGTGTTCACTTAGTGAATATTTATTGAGAAAATAAACCCATGATATTATACTGTTCTGTCTGTATAGACATAATATCTAGAAAAATCCAGTCTAAAAACCATCACTTAACTGAGGAGATGCTATTTTCATGATGTTCGTGAAGAGTTTAATTCATTTTCTTGAAATGAGTGGGAAAAAAGAAATATTCCTAAACAGCCATATTCTATTTTTTAATATATTTCAGTAAAAATGTAATAATTTTTTGGATTATGTACTAGTAGAAAAACTTTTATACTTCACTGAGACACAGTGTCAAGGCCATGCAAAGTCTTTTGCAAATAGGACAGCAGATGATAGGCTAACAGAGAAAACAAACTTTGCCCAATCACAACCTGTACACTGTCATCCCTAGAATGGTAACTGGCACCGGCAAAACAGAATTTATTTAAATCCATCACTCCACACCCACTTTAGGCACTGTTGAAGAAATCTCACTTTTCACCCACAGTGGTGGTTCTGGTGCACGTGGATCAGAAGTCCATTTGGGGAAAACTTGTTTATAGAGGCTCATCAGTACTGTGTCCTGAGATTTTAGCTTCCCATCAAAGCTGCACTTCATGTGACCACGAGGACCTAAAGGCTCCTTGATGTGTCCTCTGCGGCCCCACTTTGTTCTCAATTCCACTGATTTAAACCACAGCACATCCTCTCTACTGAAGAACATACAACGTGTGACTGCCATCTTAGTAAAAAATTTGAAAGGACGACCACTCAGAACAACTCTCTTGATCACCATTCTGTCTGGATCCACTGACAACACATGGCCTATAGCAGCAATCAGGCTGTGCATTCCATTGCTTTTCTGCTTGAAAAGCAGCACAGATGCAGAAGGAAAAGTGATTGGAGCATATACTGTCACCACCAGGGCCGCAGCAGCAGTCAGGAACCTCTGAAATTTACGTTTGTCCGCTGCAGTGTGTTGAGAGAATAAAGGTGAGGCTCGGACGCGCCTGTGTCCACAGGGGAAGGTCAGCTCCTCTTTGGCTTTCACAGGTTCAGTGTTGCCAGGGTCCCGTCTCACCATCATATTCAAAACCGACATCTTGGCATAGATCTTTATTTTTAGGGCTGCCAACCCCTGATCTGAGGGGAGGCACCTGTGGCTCAGTGGGTAGGGCACTGGCCCCATATACCGAGGGTGGCGGGTTCAAACCTGGCCCCGGCCAAACTGCAACAAAAAAATAGCTGGGTGTTGTGGTGGGCGCCTGTGGTCCCAGCTACTCAGGAGGCTGAGGCAAGAGAGTCGTCTAGGTCCAGGAGTTGGAGTTTGCTGTGAGCTGTGACATCATGGCACTCTACCATGGGCAATAAAGTGAAACTCTGTCTCTAAAAAAAAAAAAAAAAAGAAAAGAAAAAATAATCGATCTAAAAAATATCCTTATCTCTGAGAATTCTCAGCCATATTCTTTTATATTGCTTTTAGATGTGGAACAAAATTAAAATTAAATGTTATAACTAAAAACATACTGTAAACCTTATAAAAATATTATGTTCCTCTTACACTTTACTTTCCACAAAAAGCATATTTTATGTTACTAAAAGTTCATCATACACATAATTTCTGCTAATGTAGAATCAAAATTTGTAAATCCTTCTCCTTGGGTGAGACTGAGTAATTTAAAATTTAATGATATTATTAAAAATGCTGCAGTGAATATCTTGGTGCATAGTTTTTTTTCTATAGTTTGAATTATTTCCAGATGTGGAATTACTGGGTTAGAAAGTATAGAGATTTTTGACTCATAAAATGTATTGTCAACTTGCTCTCCTAAAGGGCTCCTCCAATATTCACTCCTCCTAGCAATGTATGATTGTACTTCCTAAAATTTCACCAACACTATGGTTTTTGTGTGTTTTTTTTTAAATCTTTGATTATTTGACTTGTGAAAAATGGTATCTCACTATGAGGACACTTTAAAAATATTGTATTTGCTGAAAACCTCTTGTTTGTGTTTGTCTACAGAAGAGTTTTGTTTTGTTTTGTCCGATGCAGAGTCTTGACCAGGCTAGAGTTCACGGGTGTCATCATAGCTTACTTCAACCTCAAACTCCTGGGCTCAAGTGGTCCTCTTGCCTCAGTCTCCTAATAGCTGGAACTATAGGCTTGTGCCACCATTCAGGGTGTAGATGAGGTTGGGATAGGCAGACCGTTTTGTTTTTATCTGAAGTGCAATGAGGCGTTATTTTAGGGTTTTAGCTTTTCCATTATTGAGAGAGGTGTATATTCTAATTTACATTTTAAAAAGATCACTGGAGATGCTGTGTGATAAGCTAAAGAAATTGGCCAGTGTTCTAGCTCATAGGGTGTTGTTTCCATATTGAGTATAGTAGGAGTACCTGTGCGCATTAAAATAAAGGCACATTGGCTGGGTGCAGTGGCTCAGGTCTGTAATCCTAGCACTCTGGGGGGCTAGGTGGATTGCTTGAGTTCAGGTGTTCAAGACCAGCCTGAGCAACAGCAAGACCTTGTCTCTACTAAAAAGTAGAAAAAACCAGTGGGGTGTTGTGGCAAATGCCTATAGTCCAGCTACTTGGGAGGCTGAGGCAAGAGGATTGCTTGAGCCCAAAAGTGTGAGGTTGCTGTGAGCTATGATGCCACAGCTCTCTACCCAGGGGGAAAGAGTGAAACTCTATCTCCAAAAAAAAAAAAAAAAAAAGACCTTGTGCTATCAGCAAAGGAATGTCTTCTGTCCTGCAGAACTCTCATAAGAAAAAAAAAGAGGTGGCACCTGTGGCTCAGCAAGTAGGGCGCCAGCCCCATATACCAATATACCAAGGGTGGTGGGTTCCAACCTTGCCCCAGCCAAAATGCAATAAAAAAATAGCCAGGTGTTGTGGTGGGCGCCTGTAGTCCCAGCTACTCAGGAGGCTGAGGCAAAAGAATTGCCAAAGTCCAAGAGCTGGAAGTTGCTGTGAGCTATGATGCCACAGCACTCTACTGAGGACGATAAAGTGAGACTCTGTTTCTAAAAAAAATTTAAAAAAAGACTTTCCCCCTAGACAAAGAGCTCATGTTGGAGACTGCCGACTTGGGTCTTCCCTTTGCTGAAAGCTCTGGTGCTTTTTTACTCCTCTGTATACCTTTCTGTCTAATAAAATCCTACCGTACCAGTGGGGGGAAAAAGACTTTCCTAGTTAAAATATTTTCCATGTACTATTATATCAAATAATTAATATTAATCATTAAAAATATTTTAATGCACTAGAAATGGGTGATGACCACCTAGAATAGTGAGATTGGGTTTTCAAGTGATAATAGCTATACCTAAAGTCTTCTTTTTAAATTTTGAATTTCATAAGAGTACATGTGATTGGTTATATTGTTTGCCTTTGAGTTGTAGCTGAGTCCCTCACCTAGAAGCTGTGTCATATATCCCTACATTGTACCCATTAGCAGCTAAAGAGTGGAAGGGCCCAAACCCTGCTATTTTCCCATCAATTAATTTTCATGATAATAGTAATTAATGATCTCCTTCCCCTCTACTTGAATTTAATTGTGTTTTTCTGTCTTGTGTGGGTCTATAGTTGTTCATCTACTAGTTTTAAATTTGTATTGAGTACATGGGGTGCTTACTTTCCCATTAGCGAGATACTTTACTGAGGAGAACGTTCTTTAACTCCCTCCAAAATGCAAAAGATGTAAAGTCTCCATATTTTATGGCTAACTAGTATTCCATATATATATATATATACATATTAAAAAATAGGTTCCTTTTTCTTTCTTTCTTCTTTTTTTTTTTTTTTGGAGGCAGTGTTTGACTATATCACCCTCGGTAGAGTGCCATGGAGTCAAAGCTCACAGCAACCTCAAACTCTTGGGCTTAAGTGATTCTCTTGACTCAGCCTCCCAAGTAGCTGTGACTACAGGCACCTGCCACAATGCCCAGCTGCCCAGCTATTTTTTTGTTGCAGTTGTCATTGTTGATTTTAGCTGACCCAGGCTGGGTTCAAACCTGCCAGCCTCAATGTATATGGCCGGCACCCTACCTACTGAGCTATGGGAACTGCCCATATATAATAGTATATTAATCCATCCATGGGTTGATGGGCACTTGGGTTGTTTCCATATCTTTGCAATTATGAATTGAGTTGCTATAAACATTCTACCGCAAATGTTGTTTTGATAAAATGATTTTTTTTTCTTCTGTGTAGATACCTAGTAATGGGATTGTGGGATCAAATGGAAGGCTAATTTTAGCCTTTGAGGATTTCCATACTTCTTGGCTATGCTAGCAAACCCACATACATGTGGTAGATACCTACCCCTTCTGTGTAGATACCTAGTAATGGGATTGTGGGATCAAATGGAAGGCTAATTTTAGCCTTTGAGGATTTCCATACTTCTTTCTGAAAAGGCTATGCTAGCAAACATACATACATGTAGTGGATACATGTCCCCTTCTCTTTGCACCCTCACCAGCATCTGCAGCTTTGAGACTTTGTGATGTGTGCTATTCTCACTGGGCTTAGATGATATCTCAAGGTTGATTTGATTTGCATTTCTCTGATGACTAGGGACGGTGAGCATGTTTTCATGTGTTTGTTGGCCATTCACCTCTCTTCCTGGAGAAGGTTCTGTTCATGTTAGAAATGGAGTCTTACTGTGTGGCTTCAGGCTGGTCTTGAGCTCCTGACTTCAGGTGACCCTTCTGTCTCAGCCTCTGTAGGCTGAGAATGCTGGAATTATAGGGGTAAGCCACCACAGACTCAGCTAGAATAGATTTGTTAGCCATATAAGAATAATTTTAACCTGAAACAATAATAAAAAGGAATAATTTTTGCTCAAACAATGTTGTTAGCCTTAAAAATGCCCCTGGTGAGCAGACTTTTAAAGAGTCATTTCAAGATTTTTTGTTTCCAGTTGTACTTTAGAAATAAAAATTATTTGTTGACTGGGTGAAGTGGCTCATACCTATAATCCTAGCGCTCTGGGAGGCCAAGGTGGGGGGATCACTTGAGCTCAGGAATTTGAGACCAACTTGTGCAAGAAGAAGACCCCCATCTCTACTAAAAATAGAAAAATTAGCCCAGTGTTGTGGTTGTCCCCTGTAGTCTCAGGTTGGGAGACTGAGGCAGGAGGATCCTTTAAGCCAAGGAGTTGGAGGTTGCTATGAGCTGGGCTGACTCCACGGCATGCTAGCATCAGCAGCTAAAGAGTGGAAGGGCCCAAACCTTGCTATATTTCCATCAGTTGATTTTCATAATAATAGTAAACATAATTCCTTACCTATTGCTATTTTAATCCCAGCATGGCTTCCAAAATGTCTCAAAAGAAAACAGAACCTGCCAAAAGAACAATTATGGATGAAGGAACATTCTTCAATGAAAGTGGACAGGATGGCTTGGCACCTGTAGCTCAGTGGTTAAGGTGCTGGCCACCTGCACTGGGGCTAGTGGGTTCGAACCCAGTCAGGGCCTGCTAAACAACAATGACAACAATAACAACAATAATAACAAAAAATAGCTGGGCGTTGTGGCAAGTGCCTATAGTCCCAGCTACTTGGGAGGCTGAGGCAAGAAAATCTCTTAAGCCCAAGAGTTAGAGGTTGCTGTGAGCTGTGACACCACAGCACTCTAGTCTCCAGGGCCACATAGTGAGACTCTGTCTCAAAACAAAAATAAAGAAACAAAAAAAGAAAAGTGGACAGGTAACTACTTTTTTGTCAAGGCAAATTGTAAGGCACTCTGCTTAATTTGTAGAAAATTTGTGCAAGTTCTCAAAGACCTTCATTTGAAAAGGCATTGCGTGCAAAAACACGCTGCCAGACTTGATGTGTGTGAAAGATTATGTCGTAAGGACAAAGTAGTGGAACTGAAAGTGGAACTCAGATGTACTCCATTGTAAAAGCTAGCTATGTGGTAGCATATTTGATAGCAAAAGGATCAAAACCATTTATTGATGGTGAGTTTATTAAACACTGTATGAAAACCATGGCAGACATAATTGGCCCTGACAGAGGGGGTATTTCTAAAGTCAGATTATAGCCAGACGAATTGAAGAAATTGGAAAATCCATTGAAAGACGTTTGGAGAGTAAAA